CCCCCCCCCCATCAATCCAATAGTCTGAAAAGCTCAAACGTCCCTTAGGGAACTGACAAGGAAGGTAAACAGAAAGAACTGGCTGGCTGAGGGATTACAGCGAAGTCAAGGTATATTTTCTTCTAAAAACAACACCAGGCCAAAATTCATCATCTTTTATGTCCACTTAAAAGCACATTTATGTTTGGATTTTACAAGAAAATAGATCAAAGACACAAAATTGGTAATTTGCTGTTTCCAACAAAAATTAAGCTTATGAAGCCACCAAACATTGGCCGCTCTTTTTGCACTAATTTTACCCAGGTGACACACATCTTCAATTGCAAATATCTTAACTTCTATTCAAGACAAATGAACAAGCGTTAAGATTATTCTAGTAACTCCAAAAGCTAAAAAAACTGATTAGCACTGAGTCATGACATAATTTTCTTTTCCTTGAAATGTCTCCCAAGACATAATTCTAATGATTTAGAATACAAGCTGCTTCGACCTTGGCCATCAAAGCCACCCAATTCACATGAGGAGGAGGTACTACATAAAAATAACTTACAAAGACAAGATTCTTATAGAATCATGAATAATTACATAAACTGACACAAAAAGACAGCAGCATTTTTCTGCAAAAGGACTGTATTTGAAGTTCTTTCATCATTGTAACAAAAATCAATCAATATCACAGAATATGTACAGCAGTGTTCTCCAACAATGAAAATAATTAATCATGACATTGAGCCTCTGTACCATCTATTCCACAAGCCATGCGTAAATCAAGAGAGGAAACACAGACAACATCTTTCAATCTTTCCCTAACATTGTATTAAAAGCAATGACTGTCCCTTTTCCAGTTTCAGTTGTGAACATAGTTGTATGACAATCAACAAACTTTTCAGGAAATTGAAATTCCGATCAGTCAGAGCCTTTTGACAAACAATATAATAATGACAAGCCTACAAACAGCAACATTTCAGGACAAAAATATGGGATAGGATTTATTTCAGGGTCAACAGATGCACTTTAAAAATGTATGAAATTTTAAAAACGTTTCGACACACAATAACTATTACAGATAGTGCTAAAGTCTCACTGCAATTTTTTTTCAATTTTAATTCAATTTTTTCTTTTCTTTCATGTAAAAAACATACATTCCGTTCCCAATTCAGATGGACCAAGAAGTCAGTATTAGGAGACAGATCCAAGTCAGACATACTGGAAAAGCCATAAAAAGAAATTCTGGCTCTGGAATCAAGCGAACACCTCTACATGAAAGAGAGAGAGTATTATCACATTGCCTCACACACCACTTCTATTATACCAGGGACCTGATATTGCATGTCAATAGTACAGTAGCCTCCTCCTTAGATCTCGGAGCGAGATCTTAGGCGAACGGAATCTTGGCTGACAAAAGGAAGAATCTACGGTGACCAATGTTCAGGCACACAACCGGTAAAGTGGTCTCCCTTCACTCTAATATGAACCGACGTGACCCCTGGGTGGGTTTATGACTTATGGCTAGCAAAAAACGATCAACCTTGATGACCAATCACAGTGGATTGAGGCATGACATTTTCACCTATTATCCTATCGTGAGTCTCAATATCTACATTTATCCAGTTGCCCCATCCCTTTACCTGTCTAAACTTTACAGCTTTCCATCTCTGACCAAGTTCCCCCAGCATTTGTCGTTACCCACCATTAAGTTGTGACCACACCAGGGCCTACTGTAGAACACACCAATTAAACTTCAATCCATCTTGCAAATTCTAGAGAAGAGACAACTGCAGCAATGGTTGGGGAAAGAGTTCACAGTTCGATGTGATCCCGCTAGGAGTGAACTTGTAGGCTTCACCTTACCCACCCAGCATGTGATGTAAGATTCAGTGGAGAGCCCAGATGCGAGTGCAATGTCTGGAGAAAACAAACGTATCGGCGAGTTCACAGCTCGGTGTGTTCCCATCTAGGGCAAACAATGTACCGTTTCATCGTGACTTACAACGCATATGTGATCACATTTACGAGGGTGATTGATCTGTGAAGCAACGGGTAGTTCAATGATCGCAAATTTTCACTCTTGGTTGATCAGCTGTGTCCACCCGCTTTTTTCACGTAAATTTTTACCTGAAATGCGGGACCTTAGCCAAATGTAGACCTTCAGAGTGAATCAGAAAAGGATCTTAAGGGTGACATTTGTATAGTAAAAATTCTGTTTTCTTAAAACAGCGGGACCTTAAGCAAACTGGGATCGTAAGCGATGGGATCTTAGGCCAAGACTACAGTATTTTCAATAAATTTTCAAACTCCACCTTCAACTTTCTCACCTTACTTATACAGTTATCACATGCTTCTAACATAGAATTTCAAGGCTCTTGCTAAAAGTTGAAAGAACATAAAGAGGACAAGTGGAGGTACTGAAAGAAAATCACCAAAATGAAACTAAAACATTTTGTCATGACTAAATGAAAGCAAAGACTCATGGGAATTCACATCTGTCTAAAAGTAAAAAAAGAAAGCAAATTGTGAAAATGAGTCCAAACTTTTCTTAGTAACAAAATAAATGTTTTAAATAAAGACAAATTCTCTTTAACCATGGAAATAATTGACACTCACTCATATTTTCAAGAGACAAAAGGTCTTCACTGCTGCTCTTCCACAACCAAACAACTCACTCTGATTGGTTTTTCTTCAATAAGGCAACAAAAAAACCTCATCAAACTATAATAACATATGTCCATTTCAATCTTTGGTGAAATGTTTTCCATTACAAAACATTAAGAAACTGATATGACACAAGCCACAGATATTTCAAGCTAGATTTACCAGTCGTGCCAACTTCAAAACTAGTGCACACAATAATCAAAATGAAACATCATCCAAAGCTGACCAACTTGTACTATTTCTTCCTACTTCGTTTCTTATAAACTGTACATACATATATTAAGGTGTGAGTTATCCAACACAGGTACCCAAATACATGAATGCACATTAACTCATTCGCTACGTACTATTTTTGGCTTGTGGACAATTTTTTTTCGGGAGAGTACTTATAATAGTGCTCAGTTCAAAGGTCTTTGGGACCCCAAATTAAAATACATATCAACATACTAATATTATATATCAACATTCTCAGTATGGTTTGTCGAATACATCAGTAATATTTATTTGGGTATTTTTCAACTTTGGTTCCTGTAAGAGGCGATTATGTAACACAATTTTGATGGGATGCGGATAAAATTTGAATATAAAAAATTAATAATCTTTGGTGAAACTCAAAAAAATATGTTTGCACCAAGTCAAATGACAAACTAAAATAACCATAAATGAATATAGAACTGGAAAATATTGAAAAAATTTGCAGGTATTTACATACACTCCATAATATTTGTACATTTGGATCATAAAATCCAATATTGAAAAAAAAAACAATTTTCATAATCTTGAAAAAAAGGATCACAAATAGAAAAAAAGCACTCGTATCTTATATGGAATTATTCAGAATTGCATTTGGAATAAACCTATACATGTCTTGAGTGGCACTTTTTGTGTAATTTCACCAAAAAGTAGTGATTTTGGTGAGAAAAAAATATTTCGACAATTTAGATCTAGCACTCAAAAATATTGATTTCTCAATAACAGTGCATGGGTAATTTGAGTCCATTATAGTATCAATATTATAAAGAAGAGTCCCACATTTCTTTAGTGAGCAAAATAATGACACATTTTGTTAAGTAAAAGTACTAAGGCCGGTGTCTGGGCTATAATTTTGGCATCGCGATAAAACAAAGTTGCATAAACTACGAAATCACATTTCAAAACTGAATCTAAACTTCCGATTTTCGGTGCAAACGCTTGACCCGGAAGTCTGTGTATTATAACCTTTTTATCAACATGGATACATGGACTGGAATAAAATCTAAGCTAGAATTATAGGTCGGTTTTCGAGCTGTCGGGGGCGGCTTGGCGTGCAGAAAACACTTTCGCTGCGCCGCTGCCCACGGCTCGGCGTAGCGAATGAGATAAACTCTTGCCCAATTCAAAGAATAAATCAAATGCACAATTTGTTTTTTAAAAACGAATTTTTTTTTCATCAATGAGATTTCAAGAGAGCATTCAGGGCTTCTAACTTTAAGTATACCTCAAATATTCAGTTTCAAATCAGACTTTCAAGAGAGACCTCAAGACTGCAGTTGCATCATGTGAGGTTCCCGTACAATCAACTACTCAATTCCACCAACAGATACAGGTCAGAGAATGCTCAATCTGGGCTAATTCAGACAAATTACATCAAAGCCTCAGTCATACCAGCCACAGCATTAGTAGGTCCCCATGATCACATGATGCAACCTAACAGTCAAAAATTACTCCAGAATATTTATATTCACCAAGGCTAACTGTTCATGAAGGTATATGGATGTCAGAAGGCATCGCTGTAGTGTTAAAACTAACACTTTCAGTCACTTTCACATGAAAAAGTCACACTTTCTGCATTTCCAAAATCACCCACCTGCACTCACAGATATACAACCAGATAGACTGGGACAAATAAAAACCCAGACCTGAGCAAAATTGTAAAAAGGCTCTTACTTTGGATCTCAGCAGCCTCTGAAGAAAAGAGCAAATTATGAAAACTTTAGTTCTCAGTGTCAAACACAGAGAAACAATATGTGAAACAATGGCACAACAATCAAATGTCATAAACGTGGATACTATGCCTGAAATAAGAAAGGAAACTGAATTTTAGTGGTAATAAGGGTTTATCATCTTTTTCATACCATTTTGTTTCAAAAACGCATGAGGTTCAAACTTGACGCTTTGCACCTTTTATGTTACACTTAGTAGAGTTGTTACTATACCCACCTTCCTCCGAGAATATTCAAAGAGCTAAATTGACGACACAAACTTATTAAGACCATGTATCCATCTCTATAAAAAAAATGATTATTTGCATACAGCTTTGGTTATAAACAATTACTTCATCTGAAGTCGAATTTTGTTGGATCAGGTGCATTTTATGCAAAAGCTTTAATTGAAACAATCGATGCATTCAGTAATTTTCTGCCATTCCATAGAGATCAAGAGAAGGTTTCATTTTTATTTGTTATGGACTATAATAAATTGATTTGCCAACATTGTTAAGGCTAAATGTATTGTTTCATGCACAATTTTTCTTGAAAAAGATTTTTATAACAGATTAGAAGTGTTTGTCGCTAATCTTAAGAAAAAAATTATGGAAAAACTGATAAAGTTCTACATCAAAATAATTCTTTGAGAAAAAACTAGGTCCATAATGGGCAGCTGGGTTCATGATTCCTTATGGATAACTTCTTGTGTGAGTTGGCCCAATCTTATTTCAGTTTCAGCCTTTGTCCTATTTATTGTAAAAATATAAGACAACTTCTTTTATCATTGTGTTTGTGGGGTTTCTCTTGTTAAAGTGTCAAACATTAGCAGGATTGCATGCAGATTAAATTTCTATACATCTATACTCCAAGCAAAAAAATAAGTTCTCAATCTAAAATTCAAAACCACTCCAGCTATGTTCTATCAACAGAAAAGCACCCCACTAATCAAGGCCTTTTTAAAGGACATATTTATAACATTTGCTACATGGCTTTTATACTCTTATATAGACCCTAGGTATACATATCAAACAAAAAATGGCAGGGCACTACATCTAGTAAGTTCTAATCAAAGCATTAACAACCAGTTCAACAGTAAAGAAGAACATCCTGGACTTATTGCTGTTGTTGAAGGGTATCATCTTGGCTCCAAACAGAAATCAAAAGTCCACGACTAACAGCTCCAACATTTTGGTGTCTCAGTATGGAAGTCCTTAAATGAGACCAAATCCTTCTGTTTGCTGAATAGCCAACAGAAGCTTGTCCTGCAATGTTTCCTTTGTGCTGTACTTGGGCAGGTCGAGCACATTGAAGCATGTGTGAGCCACAGGCAGGAACTTCTCCCCATCACATGTTGGCTGGATGATAATCTGAAGAAAATCATAGGAGATATTCATGTGTTTTTCAAAGCGTGCTTTTAGCTCATGACCACCTCAATAACATTTAAGTGTAAATATAAATCATGACATCATATTACACAAGGAGCCTCGCTCATCCTAACAACGTGAAAAGAACAACTCTACTTTGTATAATGAAGCACATAATATTGGAGCATAAAGAAAAAAATTATTCAATAAACATTTATCGATCAGACTTAATTAACAAGGATAAAAGCTAATCCTAAGACATTAACAAAGTCAAATAAAAACATTAAATCTAAAAATTAAAAAAAACAACAGGATCTGAGCTTATTCAGACAAAAGGAAAAAACATTTTATCGCTCTTCACGGTGAACTGAGAAACATTGCATTACCATATAGTAAGAGTTTTGGAAAATTTTTAATAGTAGAGGGTTTTACGGCGCTCGCAACTGCATAAGGTCATATGAGCGCCAAGGGGTGGGTGTCAACAGAGAAGTCTTTACAGGGAATCAGACTTAGACTGCTCACCTCTCTAGCTTCAACAGCATAAGGTCTGCTTCGACTATCAATGCACCCCAAAATAGCAGGTCACAAGAGAGTGACAAACATACAAAAGAAGAAGAGAAAAATGACAATAGTAAGAATCAGGAAAGAAAAAGCAGCAGTTCCCTGTTGTAGATCAGGCACAGTTATGAGCGTGACATGAGTCAGCCCATTTACAATTCTACTATGCTTGAAGGAGAAATGTCCCCCCTTTGGGAATGGCCTAAAGACACTACAGTCAGTGACACTGCCCCAGGGGAAGGGGTGGTGGAGTTTTTGAAGCTACGAAAGTATGAGATATACTATGTAAGAAAGAAGGAACACATTTTTCTCTATGAAGCACAAAATTAATAATTTATCAAAACTTAATTCAGGAAATAAGGAACATAGCGCAGAAGATCAATCAATTCCCCACACAATGCAGGTTGATGAAGATAAAAATTTCCCTCTGGGATAATAGAGTATTATCTTCATGAACCTGCATTTTCCATACACACTGGACTACTAAGCCAAACTTGCAATTATCATGAGGCAAAAAAATGTAGACCAATACATAACAAACATCATCATTTGGAATGCCAACAATTTCATTAATGTAAATAACATAGATATGAAACAAGAAAGCTGCTATACAAAGATCATCATACCTTGACATACTTCATGCCAAACACAGGAATACGATCACTGCCAGTGAGGAACACTGTAGAGGGAAAAAATTAATAGAATAAGAGACATATAAAAAAAATATAACAACAATTTTAGTTTGTCTTGCTATGCAGTAGCAGTTTACATCAGTGATCCTAGACATAAACACAATATTACAGCCAAGAGACAAAGTTGGGGAAAAAAACAGGACTTAAACGTTGATAGTCTGAGCCCGCCTCTACATAATTATAGACTAAAATTAATGGGTTAAAAAGAAGCAAAGAAAGAAATGTATAAAAAAAAGACATATCTGTCTGCCCCGGTCAAGATCAGTCGTAAGACGCACTTTGCTATTATCAACTACGAGGCTCGAAAGGCAAAAAAGTGACTTTCCATGAAATTTTTGTTTTTTGGATATATTGAAAGTTTGATGTCTTCTGCTTCATTTAAGATGAAAATAAACAATTATAATCGACTATAAATATTTTATTTTGATTTATTGTGGAGGTGTGTGTGTGGTTTGTTGTGAGCTTGGGTGACGAGATAAAGGAATTTGGACCTTGCTAGTGTGTAGCTGTGAGATTATTTTTAGAACCATTACCTCATGGCCACCTTTGCTTCAAGGTTTCAACGTTCTTCATTCGCAACTATTTTTAGATTTTGACCCCTTTTTGAGCATGAATGGTCTGAAATGTTAACAACTCTGATTGAACGGAGTAAAACGCTAACTTCTAGCTCACTTCAAGTTTGTTCACTTAAACAACTGACTGTGTGGACGTGCTCTGCTAGCTGTTATCGTCTGTTGAAACAACTGACTGTGTGGACGTGCTCTGCTAGCTGTTATCGTCTGTTGATCATTCAGTTTTACACTTGGATTGACTTAAAAAATTCATTTTTACTAGTGTTTCAGTGCTTTTAAAAGATTAATTAATCTTCCTCTAGATCTCTCAAAGTGGACTCCTTACTAAGAGGCCACCGAGGTGGTCTATGTGCATGTGTGTGTATTGTGTTGGTGTTTGTATGTGTGTGTATGTGTGTTTGTGTGTGTGTGTGTGTGTGTGTGTGTGTGTGTGTGTGTGTGTGTGTGTGTGTGTGTGTGTGAGTGTGTGTGTGTGTGTGCTCTCTCGTGTATTTATGGTGCTGTTTCAAACGTATAATTAGGTAGCGTAAACACAGCACATAGGCCGACTCACGGCCTTCCGAGCACGTGGTTTCGGTGAAACGGGGGTAATTCAGATCTCTGTTTCTTTGCTCTTTAGCTGTAAAACACCAAAAGCTGAACACTTTGAAAAAGTTCAGATTTTCTTCGTTACAATAGTGTAATTTGTCTGTATATCAGAGTATTTGGAGCTGGAGAATCGCCGTGGAAAGGGAAGCCCCTCGCGGTCGGAATACGAGGTCGGTCAGTTCAAAATTGACACCCATGCATTCGACTGCTTTGCAAAAGATTGATGATTAAATACCGTCTTTTCATTGGCGGAGAACTGTACAGCTTTGAGCGTGATTTCCCATGGTTATTATTTTTGGCCTTTGGCGTTTGCATAGAAAACCTTGAAAAAAAGCGTCCAAGTTTTCAAAGATCATTTTTAACACGAAATGTGTAAAATACCGGCTAAAAAAGGTACCAATAGAAAGAACAATTCTTTTTCTATTGGAATAAAGTCATCGGCTAGGAATTATTTTGCATGAATCCATGTACAGGAGAGAGAGAGAGAGAGAGAGAGAGAGAGAGAGAGAGAGAGAGAGAGAGAGAGAGAGAGAGAGAGAGAGAGAGATTTTTTTTATTTTTTTTGGTAAGTGTTTTGCGGCGCTCGCAACTGCATAAGGTCATATGAGCGCGCGGGACACACCTAAAACTTTTAGTTGGTAGGAAATTTGAACTTTTCCCGGGTGGTAGCCGAAGCCTACTCTTATCGATTTTAGACCTCCAAGGGATCTTTAACGTGCGCAACTTGCACACGAGCCCTCCGAGATTTTTCGCACTTGTCCGAGAAGGCTAGGTGTAGATCTTTCCTACCGAAGATCAGGGGTGTGGCAGAAAGACAGCTGTAAGAAGGAGTCAACGAGTAGCAGTAGAAAGGCTGTAGAAAGAATCGGAGCCCAGAGGAGGGGGGCAAAGGAGATGAGGGAGTGGGGGCAGAAAGAGGAGACGAAAGCAGACGACAGAATATTGCTAGAGAGCAGGAAAGGGGGAGAAAGGAGACAATTTTGGAGAAGAAAATTTTTCGGTCGCTACCCGGATTCGAACCCGGGACCTTTGAATGAGAGGCCAACACCTTAACCTCTAGGCCACGAGAGCCCAGAGAGAGAGAGAGAGAGAGAGAGAGAGAGAGAGAGAGAGAGAGAGAGAGAAACAGAGACAGAGTGAGAGAGAGAGAAAGAGGATAACTATAGGATCTGTGCACTGCATATGTTCTTTGTATTATTGTACAGCGCATTGAGCATTTTCTTTGTGGAAATGCACTATATAAATGCAATTTATTATAATTATTATTATTACATATGTTCTCTTATCTTTCTCAGACAAGCACAGCAGAAACAAAACAGTAGAATGTGTTAGCTTGTTTCTATACAGTAACCAGATAATCAAATACTCAAAAGAGTATTCCTCTTTTACACCCACACTTGTACGAAAATAGCCACACTATTTTTAACAACACTAGTGACAATCTGCATTCATTTTGCATAGAACAAACACTTACTGAGGAATTTTTTCTTGTCTACGAGACTCATCTCATGGAACACCTCCCAGAAGAATTTGATGGTAAGGTGATACTTGTGGTACTCTCCATTGTAGCCAGTGTTCTGAAAATAAAAATGGGGGAAACCACATCAGATGCGACAAATAATTGAGAAATTCCATGACATACCAGGTACCTCAATATGTCATTGAAGGGGTTTAAAGATGCCATGGGAGGCTTCAATCCCAGATTCACCAAGACCTTAATAAACACAATAATACTTGACTAACTAGAGAATGAACCAATTTCAAATGCCTAACAACAAGCTCACATCTTAGTTTGTGGTGCACTATCTTTTACAGTTGTGCACGTCACCATAAAATAAATTTCTTTACAGGAATCAAGAAGGTTGTCTTTTCTTTCCATTATTATCTGTATCCTAGGTATTGTCATAACTATTATTATTATTATTATTATTATTATTATTATTATTATTATTGTTATTATCATTATTATTATTATTACAACTTAATCCATTTCATTATATCAAAAGCGATATTATCACTACTATTAATATTATTACACCATCATTATATCTATCATACTTATAACTTATATTGTCAATATAAATCTTTTTTACATCACTATTATTCATAATCAGTATAATCATTACTGAGGTAAGAACGGCTATATCTTTATAGCAGCAGCAGCCATATGAGAAAAGCTGTACCTTTTCTAGCTCAAGGAAGTCATAGTCCTCATTGCCTACAACCATGGCCTGAAGCTCCTGGGGGTGGAACAGCTTCTGCATGAAGATATACAGGGTAGGAAAAATCGGTCAACAGAGACTGACAGGCAGACACACAAGCAGGAAGGCATGCGGGCAGACAGATAGACAGCCACATAATTAATATGAAATAAAATAAGAGAACCTCATTTTCTAGAGGGTATTTATTTCAAAGTTTTATTTACACTAAAGTCAACCAAATTTCCAGGTGGAAATGTAAATGTTGCCTTTTCTTTCCATTCTTTTTCTTTTGAATTAAACAAAATTATGAAGTTTAAATATTGTCCTCAGAGTAAATTTCCTACTCAAAACATCTACATCTTGAAAAGGCATTCGGCAGCCAGAAGTGATTGGATTCAAATTCCTTGTTTTGAGCAAATTAGTATTTGTTCTTAGACATAAGATTAAAAGCATGAAAATGCATGCGATCAAGCAAAATTTGTCAATGAAGTAAAAAGTAAAACTGCATTGATATTAATGGATAAAATAGAATGAAGAAAGTTTGTTTTTTATCAGCAAATCAGCCAAAAGAAAAACAGTCACTTCTGAGAGTCAAACATGCAGACTAAACCGTGATAAACAATTTCAAGTAAAATGTGCATCCACTTACCAAGACCTCGCCACCACAAACAGACAAGAATCCTTCGCTGAAGGCTGAGAATTGTGTCTCCACTGATTTGTTCAGAATGTAGTCCACATACAAGTCAACATATTTTTGCCTGTTGGAAACAAAATCATAGTTACAAAACTCATCAAACACAGTAAGAAAAAATGAAAAATGGACTCAGACTTGTGAAGATCTTGACCTTCGCCACAATGGAACAAAAGCTTGGTCCCTTGTCAGCAACCTCTCGGGAGAAAGACAAAAAAGCAACCCCAAACCTATTTTCGTTTCAGGCAACACCATCACAGAAGACCAGAAGAAAGCCGAACATTTTAACCGGTATTTCGCCTCTGTAAACAGGGCAAGTAGACTAACCGAGGCCGATAGACTCCTCATAAACAAGGCTAAGCACAAAGAAAAAGCCCCTACCGTGAACAACCCCTTTTTGAGGAGGACTTCAGCATGATGGAACTTGGACAGGCCCTCAAAAAATTAAAGCAAAAGAAAGCCCCAGGACCAGACAAAATACCCAACGAAATGCTGCGCAACCTTGGTGCTAAAGGAAAAGATGTCATACGCCGCTTAGTAAATACCAAGTGGGAAAACGAGCGGAATACCAAAGGCATGGGGGATCGCCCAGATCATACCGCTCCTAAAGAAGGGGAAACCACCTGGAGAAGCGAAGAGCTACCAACCTATATCATTAACATCATGTATCGGTAAGCTTGCCGAAAGAATGGTTAACAGGCCAACAGCTTGAAACCACACCAACAGGCTTTAAAAAAGGCAGCAACACAGAAGACCAACTTTCCAAACTAAGTCAAGACATTAAAGATGGTTTCCAGGAGACTAAACACACTGTTGCCATCTTTGTAGATCTCCAACAGGCGTACGACAGAGTGTGGAGAAAACGCCTGCTCATGAAAATGATGGACCTCGGGATACACGGGAAACTTTACAAATGGATCAAGTTTTTCCTAGCGGATCGAACCATCGAAACAAAGGTGAACAATGCCCACTCGTCAATAGAAGTACTCGAGGAAGGCCTACCCCAAGGTTCCTGTCTGAGATGCACTTTGTTCCTGATCTTTTTTAACGATGTGACAAACGTGCTGAAATCAGAAAAGACTCTCTACGCTGATGATCTTGCTCTCTGGCAAACACATCACAGCACGGTGGTAGGAGCAGGAAAATTAAATGAAGACCTCAAGAGGCTCCACAGCTACTATCAGAAATGGAAGCTAAAAATAAACTGCACGAAAACAGTATACACCATCTTTACAAAGAGCCATAAAACAGCCCAAAAAAAACTTCAACTGAAGATGGGAAATGAAAATCTCCCTAAAGAAGAACAACCAACGTATCTAGGAGTCAAACTTGACCAAAGTCTAACAATGAAAAACCAAGTGGAGAGCATAAAGAACAAGGCGAAAAGGAGACTCCAACTTTTAAAGAAACTTGCGAGCGGTTCATGGGGATCAGACAAACTCTGAGATCTCTATACCTTGGTTATGTCCGATCTTCCCTGGAATACAGCAATAGCCTACTCATTATGTGTAGCGCAACTACTTACAATACCCTTGACAAGGTCCAAAATAATGCACTTAGTTTCATAAACGGTGGAATGAGATCTTCACCTACTGCCGCATGTGAAATTCTTTCAAATGTTGAACCCCTGGGAATTCGCAGAGATAAAGCAGTTTTGGAGCACCATGAAAGAACCAAAAGAATGTACCCCAACCACCCAAACAGGACATTAGTAGAAACAAGGAAACCAAAGAAACGACTTCAACAAAAATCAGTCATGCATCGCATCACAGAACTAATGGAGAGCCACCGTCTACTACAAGACAGAAGAGAAACCAAAAGAGTCAACCAAAACATCCCTCCCCACATTTCTATGGAAAAACCAATCATTACAACTTCTCTCAGAGACAATAGCACAAAATCTTCAGACCCAGTGAAGTTGATGCTTGCATCACATCAAACTATCGACAGCTATTCAGATGACAGGATACACGTCTATGCAGACGGCTCAGCATTCAAAGGCACAACCAAAGCCGGATATGGAATACTAATACAGTACCCAGATGGAAGTTCTAATGAGATCTCTGCAGCCTGTGGAGAGAAATGTAATAACTACGACGCAGAAAGGATAGCAACTGAAAGAGCACTATACCATCTCGGCACAGTTTTTGACACTCATCCAAACAAAACACAGAATATAGTGATCTTCACTGACTCACTATCAGTCTTGCAAGCAATAGAAAATGACCATCATCTAAACGAAGATTCGACACATATACTGTTTGGCTCCCATCACCTGATACTGATAACATCCTGTGGCATCAACCTGGTGATGCAGTGGATTCCCGGACACTCAAACATACCTGGAAATGACAGAGCAGACACACTCGCCACAAGGGGATCTAGACAGGAACAACCCAACATTCCAATTCATACAACACTGCAAAACAAATCATTAAAAGCAACAGCAAACAAGATTGGATGAACAGATGGGCCTTGAGAAAGATAGGCAGAGCAGTTTTCAAACATATGACTACGACAAAACGAAATGACAATATTAACCACCTACAGAGAAAGAAACAGACCACGATCTTCCGCCTACGAACAGAACATATACAACTCAACTATCACTTGAACAGAATAAAACCAGAACGTCCCCCAATGTGTCCTTTGTGTGACTATGCATATGAGACAGTGGAACATCACCTTTTCCACTGTACAGCCCTAAATGACATCAGAGCTACACTTCTCCCTCCGAGACCTAACTTTGACAACACACTCTACGGAACATTACAGCAACTGCAGCAAACCTGCACTTATCACTACAGGGCATTGGACAGAACGGCAAGAGCCCAGATGTTGCTGGATTGATAACAACAACAACAACAACAACAAACCTATCAAACTCTTCAGCTGGCTCCCATTGTACCTATGAAATGAGTCTTAGTCACCACAATCAAGATATTCAAAACTTTGCTTATCTGAAATGAAATCACCCAAAAAAAAAACTTCTTCCATTTGATCAGCCATGTCCGTGATGTACATGAGAAGAGAACCTTACTTTATGGGCCCTTATTTTATTACATGACAAAACCAACAAATCGTCGATGGGATTCACAAACCGGCTGCATCAAAAATTTCCATTTTTTTAAATTTGCTTAATGAATAGTAAATAGTCTAATACGTTTCCCCAATAAATATTAGGTTTGAAAAAAAACCTAGAAATACGTTTTAATTGAGACTTTCCAAAACGGACACCTGCAGCTGTTGAAAAAATGGGATCGCCAAACCGGCCATGTACATAGCCGCTTTGGTTTCAGCAGACCGTCGCGACACGCGTTGACACGTGTCATCGAAAACCGGCTACATGCTTCCCCGCCGCGCCTCACCCCGACAGTCCAGTAGGGTTTTTTTTCTCTTGAACTAGACAGAATTTTAAACTGTTATTGGTGTCCATCGAGATAAATAATATTATAGTCAACAATGAGGTGACTTGTAACATAAAGCATTTGTGAGCTCCAGCTCCTCCTCCTCCTCCTCCTCCCCCCCCTCCTCCTCCTCCTCCTCCTCCTCCTCCTTCTTCTTCTTCTTCATCTTCTTCTTCTTCTTCATCTTCTTCTTCTTCTTCGCCTACATCAAATCAATTGTTGTATTTTAGCACACTCTAGTGTTAGCTGCAGCAGAACAGCTGTAATAGCAGTAGTAGTACCATTATCATCATCATCATTATCATCATCATTATCATCATCAGCAGCAGCAGCAGCAGCACCCGCAGCAGCAGCAGCAGCAGAGCAACAGCAGAAGTAGTTCTTGTACTGACAGTTTGAAGCAACTGCAGCAGCCGCAAAAGTAGTGTAATACGAAACTTATACTATGAATATTACAGAAAATATTTTAATAATAATAATAAGCACTTTATTGCTACTATTTCATTGTCGACATTCTGGATGCAATCCTTTTTGTTTTTGGAATTATCTTACGCTGTGACCACGGGTGTGAACTGATATTATTCATTGGTCTCTTCACAAAATTAAACGTTTCAGTCGTGGTGTATACTATACTGTGGCAGACATCATTTTCTTAAGATTCACTTATCACGGATCAATAAAGTTATCTATTCAAATTTCTGGTTTTAGTATTATTATGCCCGAGATATATTTATCAAAGAGAGAGAGTGGTTCCAGGCAAAAACCGCGTCATCTATGATTCAAGATTGGTAAAGAAAGGACCAAGAACAAGTCATCGGAAGAAAGAAAAAAAAACTACCGAAATATGAAATGGCTATCTTTGTCAGGTTTACAGAATAGTTCATCCGCGTTAATGATGTTCTTCTTATATATAATTAATGCTAGTCCTTTTCAAATACCACTTTTTTTTACATTTTGGCATGAGTCTGGCTGAGGATACATGATGGATCCCTTATCTCGAGGAAGATGCCTGGTAAAGCTGAGTCTGGCAAAGACCGTGGACGATGGCAAGTGCACTCCAGCAAATTGTCCATGATTCACCTCTATCATGGAGCCACGGTATTGCCCATGGCTACCACCATCGACTCCGCTTCACCCTGGTGTTTTGAACATTTCACTTTCAGAAATCTTAAGAATGACCCTGAGTTTGAAATTTTTCTTCATACGGTTGCCAGAGATCCCTACAGCTGTAGACAGCAATCACGAGGGAATTAATGGACATAGAATTGGAAGGAAGCGGAATGCATGTGTGATGTATGCAGAAGGAATGGATTCTTGCGACAAGATTATGGACAAGTGCGGCAGGGAGCTGGGTAGAAGAGAATGGAAGAAGCAAAAGGTAAAACTGATCCTAGTGGGGGACTGCCTTCTCGAAAGTAATAGATTGACTAGCACAACTGGAGACGAAATGAGACCAAAAGGCTGGAATAACAAAAGCTAGAATAGCACAACAAATTCAAAAAGATGCTCTTGTCAGAATAATAGATACCATTGTGACGAATTCAGTTATAAGGAAAGAGACAGAATTTTTAAAAGCAGTACGGAGACTCACATGGGTACAGAAGCGTACATTTGCAATTCATTCAAAAAAGATGATGTGGTCGGGAGAAGTGTTTTCTGC